AGGCATTGGGGGAGTCACTGTTCCCCCGAGCACTGCCAGGAGTGACCAGGAATAACAGTCACAAGCTGGCAGAGGGTAGGTTTAGGTTAGACATCAGGAAGCGCTATTTCACGGTCAGGCTGGCTAGGCTCTGGAACCAGCTTCCAAGAGAGGTGGTGCAGGCTCCTACCCTGGGGGTTTTTAAGAGGAGGTTAGATGAACACCTTGCTGGGGTCGTTTGTGCCCAGTATTCTTTCCTGCCATGGCAGGGGGTTGGACTAGATGATCTGCTCAGGTCCCTTCCGACCCTAGAAACTATGAAACTATAATTCTTCCTTTTCCTGGATGTTAGATGCACACACATTAAAGTTATTACTCCTCTTGCAAAAATAAATTTAATGAGATTCAGTTTCCTCCACTATATTACACTTACTGTCACTAACCATTACTTTTCTGTTATCTTGAACATCAGATTACATAAAAATATTAATGTAGTACTATTATTTATCTTTTATCATTCAATTTTATGTACTCTTAGTATTCAACTGGAACACTATAATACCATTTTACACATACAGAAAACCTTCTTTCTAGAAATTTATACCCAGTCTAGGCACTTTATTAGTTTTCACAGTATGAATGAGTTATAATCCAATCACCAGTCATTACAGAAAGAAACCTAGTGCTGTACAACAGTTAAAAATCCTGTTAGAGGTGCACAATTTGACTAGTCTTTCCTCCTTCGCTCATACTTGCACTGGAAGGAATTGTAAGTTATTTGTCCTCGAGATACTTATGGTTTGAGCTCTCTCAAGTATATATAAAGTTACCTTTTCAGTAATCTCGTGTGTTATGGGACCAAAAGTAATTAGAAATTTCCCTGAAATAAATCTGCTTTTTTCTGCTTCTATCTCTAGTTTTGACACCCAGAAGTATAGCATATCACTCTTCCTTTTGCTGGGGGATGATAAAAAATATGAAGTTATCGTTTTATCAAATTAATCCAGAATACTTGTCTCTCCCTTCTTTTGGGAGCTTCTTTTCCCATTTTTCCTTTATTCAGGAGTTTCTTTTTATGAATTTCTATAGTGAATCATGGGTATCTATAGTAACTACACTGATTTGTTCCAAGAGTATTCCACATCTTCCTTGGCATCATAATCTTTCAGTAAGCTTTCTATACCCATTCCAACATAATTTGAACCAGCTCTTGATTTAGCTTTCCTGATTCTTGTCAGCAGCTTCATCTGTAGGTCCAGGCTCATTGTCTACTCAAGATCAGAAATTATCATATATTTTTACTTTCCTGTCCTTTAATAAAAAGGGGAAAAAACCCGATACAAAACAGGAAAACTCCCCACCTCAACATAAATGATCCATGGATGTCCTTTCTATTTTAGTGAACCCCTCTTCTCTTGTAGGGCCTAGAGAAAGGGCCAACCTAAATTCCTTCAAGAACTCGCTTCCAGTTTACTGCTCGCCAAATCCTCTGGACCAAAAACTTCTAAATTTGGTGCCTCTTTCCTTCTCAATTTCAATCAATTTCTGTTCTGCACAGAACCTGATGGTAGCTGTAGCTCTAATGAGTCAGGTCAGCTTGTCATTTACAGCTTGCCAGTCAAAACACAAAATCAACACTATCTTCTGGGAGCCCACCCTTTAGAATAAGACAGCTGATTGCTGAGAATAAAACTATATAATTTGTTCTAGCATTTTTCAACTTCCACTTCTGTTAATTACTTGCCTTCATTCAACACTAACTGTAACTCTATTAGGACTTGTTTTACTGCTGCATCACTTTTACAATCCACATCCATGAATATGGACAAGGCTTGGTTTAAAATTATTTATTAATTCTCTCAAGGATGCGGTCAGAAATGTCCTAAAATAAGCAGAAGGTTAAACTGAACTATCTTCATTTTGACTGTGATCATGATACTTCAGAAAAGTTATTATTTTCTTATATAATAATAGTAAGCAGGCACAGTTCTTTACAATGAGTTAAACACGTTAGCCCAAAATAGCATTGCTGAACTGAGAGTCTTCAAAGAAAAGGTATCAGAGATCCAATGAAATACAAATGTTATGAACATATACCATAAAGATTAGTCACTGCACACATCATGGTATTTAATGACCAAAGTGGAAAAACTCCTAAGGAACAGGTCCTTTTTCTGAAGACATTAGAAAGTAGAGGAAAAGGGGACCGGTAACAGATGATTTTACAAGGCAAACTTTTCATTGTAGTACTTGAAATATTAAAAACATGGCCTACATAACAGGATGCACATTCAAATGTAGTGTGTTAGATACTTTAATATCAAAATATATCTGGAAACAGGGGGTTTCCAGAATTGATTACACGTTCACATTCTGTACTTACACAGATCTTTAGTTAAAGAGAAACTGTTAATTTAATAAAAATTCTCTGCCTATATTTGAAATACAGTTAATGCACATAAATTCAAAGGGCAGTATAAATTAAAGAGACTAGGAAAAAGTTCTCTCACTTCTCAATAGATTCTTAGTGTTTCAAAGCACTTAATATATACAGTTACTTTCACTGCTTTCTCCTTATAATCAACTAATTAGCTTCCCCTATTATTTTATTCCTTCTTTAATGTAACCACAAAGGAGGGAACAACATTTTAAAATGGTAAATTGATTCCTAAAGCAACATATATTGGCAAGGAGATTTAGGGACACATACTTCCCAAAACTGCTTCTACAGAATTGTTTTCAACTAACTGGATATCAAATTGACAATGTACCTTTAAACAGATCACTAATGACCAATGTTTTGTTTAAATCCCATGGAAGCCAGAAGCCTACCACAGAACAGCAGTTATACCCACAAATGATTTCAGGAAGAAACCTTGCCACCAACAGTTTCAAGTCCTCCACAAGCCATTTTGAAACTCTAAACTTGCTTGCCACTTAAATCTGACACTATAAATGAGATGGATGAGACTAGGTAGTTTTCCAAAGGTGGCTACTTTTTATTATGTGGATTAACACATTCTTAATGGAACTGACAAAATATACCACAGATTTACACAAAACATTTCGAGTCTACCCAGGAACTAACCTAGTGATTTTGTATCTAAAACCAAATCAGCAGATGGAAAACTTGCCTTTTGTCAAAAATAAAAAAAAGATGAAAATAAAAGATTATATTTTTTTTAAAAGCAAACAGTCAATTAAACATGCCTTATTATAAGAAGATATATAGATAGATAGATATAGATATATATATAGTGTGCTTTGTTTTTTAAGTTTCAAAGTAAGTTAATCTAAAGTTATAATGCATGCAGCATGTGAAATAGATACTTTGGCATTTACCACATTTTATATCAAGTCCCTCTTTTGAAAACTACCTTGGATAGGAAAATGTAATCTGATATCAGCTTAACAAGAGTTTTGCACTTACCAGAATTATGGCAGTAGTCCATACACTGTGGAATTTGGATTGTAAAGGCTACCAAATCTGGACCTAACAGAGATTCTGGCTTTCTACTTTCATTGAGCCATTTGCTGCTGTGTAGGTCTCGTGTGTCTGAAGGGCCTTGAATTAAAGGAATCAGCTTCTCTTTTCCACCATCACCTGAATAAAGATTAAACTTTTTATGCCTTTTATTACAAGGAAAATTTTTGACACAAATATTTCTTAGCTTGAGAAGGGCAGCTATTAAATTCAGAAGCATAAACAAAGTGACAAAACACAATGAACAATCTGTTATAAATTTGGCCACAGAAAAACACTTACTCATACAGTTATTACACAAGTTTTTTTATAACCAGTAAGATTTAAAATAATGCTACCAGATAAACTAATCAATTCAAATTATATATGTTAATTACAGTCCACTAATAGAACAGTTGCTTCAAATTACATTCACGTATAGTACCGACATTTAAAAAACTAAACATTGACTAAATGAAATATACATATTGGTTGGAAATGTTTATTGTGTACTTCATTCATCAAGAGAAGCAGTACCCAAAAAAGAACACTAAACAAACCCCTTAAAAACGTAAGGCCTGAAAAATTTGTTTTGTCCATTTCAAAATTATTTAAAAACCCCCACAATTTATCATAATTATAGTATAAATAAGGCAAAACATGAATGTATTTTAACATGAAAGTAATCCAGTTTTTATGTAGATTTTCTTCCATGTTGTTAGAGTCTGGTTTTTGTATTAAAAAAAAAACAACCAAGTTTTTAATTTATTTTATTTACTTATTGTCAACACTGAATTTACTAGAGCCATGTTGTATCATCCTGGCACAAGTAAAAAAAACAGAAAACAACCCTCCCCCCTCTGGTTCATAGGAACAATGAGTAAATTCTTGTTTCAGTAACTCTCTTGTAAAAAGCAAGGCCAATTCTCCTATACAGGCAATAAAGTTTTACATGGTCCAGCTGCACATACCTGGGGCTTTGGCACAAATTTTTATTGATCCCACGGTCCCAGAGGCACATTTGACCAATGATGTGCTGCAGTACTTCAGTTCAACATTCTGGATTGAGCCCTCAAGAGTTGGCAGGGGATTCTTAGATTTCACACCTAATAAAAGAAAACTGCAAATGTACTAGCCTGTTGAATTTAAATATTTTTATATTCCTTCACCAACACATTTAAACTTAATTATACTTTAATTATCTACCTTAGATGTTCTTATAACATTTTGTTGTGATTCTTGGTTTTGACTCTGAAGTAAGAGAATATTATATACATAATTATGTATAACATATTTATGCAAACACTTTATTTTCACATACAGGAAAACATGTAAGGTAACTTAGAAACTTTCGAATAAGAAATAGGGACGCATGCACATACATGAACTGTTTTTATTCTGTAACTTGGTCATGACACTTCAATTGTTCTTCTCCAGTATTTTCATTGTAATGATTTAATTTAAGAAAAAATAACTAAAAAGGTTTTTAGCTGATATTTAGACAACAGTGTTTCAAAAAGTAGCAATATAAAAACAAATGTATGCAACTGAATGGCACAGCAGGAGACTTCCCATTTCGCTAGGGAAATTAGAGTTCACCCTTTCCTTGGGTCACAAGTGATATGTTTGGTGGTCTTTGCGCAGTGTCTGTGTAGACTAGAACACTACGAATAAAAATTTGGAACAAATCTGTATTATTGGGAGTCTCTTCTCAAGAGATGCCTAGTGCTATACCAGCAAAAGACATTACAGGCAAAGATAAAGATGCACCGGCAGAACTGATGGAACACCTAACACACAAAGTCTATATGGCCTAATCAGCACTATTTATAGGCTTCTAACATCAGTGAAACTTAATTTACTTGCAAATCAGTTTGGACACCTGTATGGAGTATGAAAGGAAAAAAAAAAAAAAAGAAAAGTTACAACTTTTAAATAATATTTTTCCTACACAGAACTAACTTGGAAGTCAAAAGTTAAATTTGGCAAGCAACTTGCTCATTATGCAAGATTAAGACTAATTTTGGGGAACATTTTTGTGCATACCTAACACTGAATTTCTGCCAGTATCCATATTTTGCAAAGAAACTATTACGAATCATCAGGTTTGGGTTTTTTTGTTTGTTTTTTTAAGTAATATAGGTAAGTTATTTCATGATAGATGGAGTCATTATGGCAACTGGATAGAAATATATATTTTAAATTCTCTAAACACTTAACCCATTACATTTTCTTTCATCTGCTCCCAAACACACTTATGCTAAAGATTACTCTTCTGAATATTTTAAATTGCTGGGCAAGGTATAATGCTTAATTTACAAAATGGCAGAATGCATAAAGAATTAAATCTGAAACCCTCCTGCTTGCTATATTGGACTGAGCCTAGATACTGGGTGCAGTCTGTAAGATATATAAAGTTCTTGCATACCACATGCCCCCAAATAAAACACGCTCCTTGTTTTTGGAAGATAGAATACAGAAAAGATTTTTGCAGATTTACAGCTGATTATGGACCTTCCACATGTTACACTTAAGACATGATTAACCAGTTAATCTTGTCGTAAGTTTTAACAGGGCCACACATTAAAGTAATTAACAGCATCATAAAACAAAGAATAAGCCACAAAGTTATTCCACAAAAATGTGTCATAACTTGGTGGCTGGTTCCTATCACGCCATTAATGGAACACGTAGTCAGGTGTGCCCCCCCATGGCTGGGAGCCCTGTCATCTGATCCAGGCTCCCAGCCATGCGAGCACATGGTGTGCCTTCACAGCTAGGAGCCCCATCAGCTGCGGCAGCTCCCAGCTGAGGAAGCTTGCTACTTGCCGGTGTAGTGGTAGCCAGGTATCATGATCCCCTGGCACCAGCAATAAAAGCATGATTGGTTTTGATGTTTGATCCCACAATCACGCCACCTGCCATGCACGTGGCATGGCAGGAAGCATGATTGTGTGGAGCATACATCAGTTACTATCATGCCTTTACCTGAATGTCTGGCAAGGGTCTAGATGACAGAGAATCTCCAGGAAATGTGGCATCCCAGGAAATGGGTTTAACTGGGCTTAACTCGAAGACAGTCAGGTGGGTGAGAAACTGCCTGCAGGATAGGACCCAGACAGTTGTAGTGAATGGATCTGAATCATCCTGGAGAGAAGTGGGCAGTGGTGTCCTGCAGGGCTCAGTGTTTAGCCCAGTACTTTTTAACATCTTTATTAACAATTTGGATGTGGGACTGAAGAGCTCACTAGCCAAGTTTGTGGACGACACCAAGTTATGGGGAAGCGTAGTCATGCTTGAAAATAGGCTACAGATAAAAGGCAGACCTAGACATGCTAGCAAGTTGGGCAGATCGGAACCTGATGAAGTTCAATGTCGAGAAATGTAAAGTGCTCCCCCTCGGGGTGAGCAACCCCCAACACACCTACAGGTTTCACGACACCAAGCTGACTAGCACCACAAATGAAAGGGACCTGGGGCTAATAATAGACCACAGTATGAGTATGACCTGGCAGTGTGGCTCTGTAGCCAGTAAGGCAAATAATACTCTGGCATGCATCAATTGATGCATCTCCAGCAAAACCATGGAGGTGATTCTTCTGCTCTACTCAGCACTAATGAGACCGCAGATTCAGTACTGCGTCCAGTGCTGGGCACCACATGTTAACAAGGACGTGGAGAAGTTTGAGAGAGTCCAAAGAAGAGCCACCTGTATGATCAGAGTCTTACATGGCAAGGCATATGAGGAAAAGCTGAGGGATCTGGGACTCTTCAGCCTAAAGAAAAGAAGGCTGAGAGGGGACCTGGTGGCAGCTTACTGCTACACTAGGTAAGCACATCAAGGGTTTGGTGAGCAATTGTTCACCAGGGCACCTGAGGGGAAAACCAGGAGTAACAGACACAAGCTCCTGGAAGATCAATTCAGGCTCAACATTAGGAAAAACTTCTTCACAGTCAGGGTGTCCAGACTGTGGAATAAGCTCCCTCCAGAGGTGGTGCAACCACCTACCCTGGAGATCTTCAACAGGAGACTAAACAGTCATTTTGCTGGGGTCACGTGACCCCCAGTTATCTTTCCTGTTTGGTGCAGGGGCTGGACCCAATGATCTTCTAAGGTCCCTTCTGGCCTTACAATCTATGAAATGGTTTGGGTGAGGCAACATGAACTTCCTAATGTGGTATGACATCAAAAAGGCTGAGCCCCAGACCCTTGCAATGGTAGCAGGAAAACTGTTACTTCTGTATCCTAAATAGTGCTTTAGTTAAGTTTTTGTAAATAATAAAAGTATTTTTTCCATACCACAAACTTCACTGAGATACAACAGACTGCATGCAGCAGTTCAATCACTCTGAGCCAGCTCTTCAGCCAATAGCTCATGAGTAGTTGAGTGAAAGTTAACACTAGTCTGTACCCGTTCTATGCAACCACAAGAAGCAGCACCAGTTCTCTTAGATACGACGACTTATGGTGTGGACATTTGGTACCCTGGGGACAACTAGCAGCTTCAAGCCTTGCGCCGCTACTAGTTGCCCCTGGGGAATGGCCTTGCCACGCACGCTCTGACACACGGCAAGTTACCCTAGGGGCAGAATGGGAGGCTGGGAGCAGCATTGGGCCAGCAGCAGCAGCCTTACCTGGGGTCCTGAGGGCCTCCAGGGGCTGCAGCAGTGGTGATTCTATTGCACAGAGCTGGCTGGCAGCTGTAGCATGGCTCTAGGTAGCCCAAATCCACTTTTGAGTGGTGCACACTGCACTTGCGTGCGCTGCTCCCCTTTTTTTCGTCCACGGATATCCAAGGGTCAAAAAACCCCTCAGCACTGCTCTCTTGCAACACCAAGAACAATTGAACATGTGGTATATGGTGCCGCAGATGCGTCTGCGGCACCATTTACTACACAGCTGTGCTTGTCTGGACAAAGCCCTTGGGCACAAACAGTTTCTGTTTACTCTATCCTACTTTGCTTTCCAGTGAAGAAAAATCAGCTTCCCTGCTTAAGATATAAACCCAATTTTTGAACCCTGATTTTGGAGGAAAGGGATGTGTATGTGGTAAGCAAGAAATACAATATAATCACTTGCTCTTCAGAGTCCTGCAAACCACCTGTATCATACACTCAACTTGACGTCATTATTCTGCTTGTCCATCTTTCTGTAGTTTAACTTGTAAATGTTATATCCGATAAATTAGAAAAATTCCAAGGGATATTCCAAGCATTGACAGCCGAAACCTATTCGTTTTGATAAATTTTGATGAAAATTAGATGAAATCAAATCATCTGATGAAAATTAATAAACCAAAAAGTAATACAGGAGTGATTTTGTAGCTGTGACGGTCCAGAAATTATGCAAGAGACAAGGGTTTCTTAGGATGATATATCTTTTATTGGACCAACTACATGTTTTACCAACTACACAGCTCGTCCAATAAAAGATGTCACCCTAAGAAACGCTTGCCTCTGGCATAAACAAAGAAGGAGAATCAGAGGGACATACAGATCCCCTTTCCTCTCTTTAGCAAAGCCACAGCTCTGCAACTGCATGTATTCAAAGAACAAGTGGATAATATTCACTGTCTTCCAGCATAACAATACTACCCTAGCACAGCCTGTTCATCCACTTAATGAAATTTAACAGTCTGAATGACTTATGTCCCAGACACAAAGAAGACAAGTAATTATTATGCTAAGGGAAAAATATGGGATGTGGGAAGAAATGGTGGATGAGGAATACACAGAGCCCCTTGCATGTGATAAGGACATGGAAAAATCTGGTCTGTGGGATAAAAGAATGAGGGGGACAGAGTATCCCCAATAAATAGTTTTCCCACAGTTTCCCAAGAATTTTCTCTTTGTCATTGTCTTAACTAGCTTCACCTTTACAGCTTCCTTGAAAGTAATTGCTGGAAGGCTAGATTGGATCAAAGACAGAACTGGAAAGACAAAGACATTTATAAAAGAAAAAAATTACAACTCCCTCATACTCCACATCAAGGTACCTGCTGCAAAGACAACATGATGATAAAGCGTGATGGAGGCATGCATGAATTTGTGACATGAAATTCTTCACTAATACTTTGCTCTAAAAAAGCAAGTTACAGATGCATAT